AATTTTTCATTGGATAAAAAGCTTTGCTTGCAGTTTCTGTTTGGTTTTAAGTGATGCGTTCTGCTACCGTTTATATACACTGGCTGTGAATCGCCTACCCATCTGTTTCCGTGTTGCTGTACATACCCCAAGTGCAAGTCTTGCATACCTGTGTTCGTCCTTCGGCTAAGAATAAATGCTGCTCTATGAGACAGTGAATGCTGCAGTGACAGATATATACGTCTTGTAGTGCATGTATCAGTGTAGCGAGTCAACATACTGGCATCGGCTGGCTCACATCACGAGTGAAGAAGGGATAGGTATATATAGGCATAGCCTCGACCGACAGCAATTCTCAACGCTGTATTGACGTAGGCTCGGGAGCATATGCAGGAACTATTCTCTCGGCTCATAAACAACTACGTGGGTTGATAGGCCCCAGCTTCAGCTAGGGCGGTTTAGGAAGACTAACATCTAGTCTCTGAAATGAACATATTTTACAGAAAAAAACTGTTCATAAAAAAAATTAGAAAATATAATGAAAAGGAGCTAAGAGACTTTCTTCATTTTCTGAAACTGTTGAAATCTAGACTTGCCACATATTCCAAACTTGCATAGGCTTTCTTGGATATATTTGTTTCAGGGTCTGTATGACAGACTACAGTTTAGGACACTGTACTTTGTACTTGAACGAATCCCTGCCTGTATGTACGCGGTATTAGGTTGGTTATCAAATACATATATTTGATGTCTTAAAGCTGAAAGACAGTTGGTGAGGGAGTGAGTATGATTTACGCTGCTTTTAGCAATATTCCAGCAATATCACGGCGGAGGACACCAGAAATGGGCTTCACACAGTGTACTCTATTCTGTCTCACAGTCCCTGAACAACATTATTTTCCCTACTGCCAAGCCCTCTCTGCAGTGCTAAAGCCCTAAATAAAGCAATTCTAGATTCTGTCTCACAGTCCCTGAACCTAAATAAAGCAAGTCTCTTCGCAGTGCTAACAGCCCTGAACCACATTAATTTCCCTACTGCCAAGCCCTCTCTGCAGTGCTAAAGCCCTAAATAAAGCAAGTCTAGATTCTGTCTCACAGTCCCTGAACCACATTATTTTCCCTACAGCCTAGCCCTCTCTACAATGCTAAAGCCCTAAATAAAGCAAGTCTAGATTTCCTCAGGTTCAGGTCTGGACCTTCTAGGGCTCCTTTTCAATTTAAATGGGCTTGTTTGTTATTATCAAAATTATATATATTCAGAGACTAAGCATTAGTCTAAGTGTACTCATGTGGGGAATCGAACCCGGGTCTTCATTAGGCTACCAGTCCGCCCCATCGTTGAAAGACATTAAACGACTTTTCACAGTTAACACTGATACTATATAGTGAGTTAGTGAGTGGGTTTATCACTGCATTAAACAATATTACAGCTGTATCAGGCCGTGAGACGTGGGAGGGAAGTAATAAGTTAGATACCTTAAAGATAGACATCGATTCATACCAACAGGCTTGAAGACCTTACCACGTGACATAGAAGACAAGTACTTCAAACAGCAATAGTGTTCAAAGGAGCGAAAATAGTAACCTGCGAAAACCATATTTTTTGTAATAACTGAATGAATATAATGTAATTCTTTATTTAGAGCTAAATAATGATTTGATTAAAGTTTAATTTCAAAATGAACGTAAAAATACACGTAAATGTAATTCAATCCGTTAATTTAAGACAAAATATTATGGATGTCAACTTCTTTATTGTAACAACAACATTTCTGGGCTTCTCCTTGCCCCTTCGTCGGGTGAATGCTAACTGGTCATGCATAATATTTTTTACTTGAATACCAACTTCTATATGCCACTCAAGAACCTAATCCGTTAATATTTAACATGTTTCCGTCACATCTAAAAATACGAACTGTATTTAGGCAAAGTGGAAAGGTCGCGTCTTGATATCACTACCGGCGGTTCAACTCTATCTTATACATTTCATTTGCATCCGTTGCTACAAGGTTACCCTGGCTAGCACAAACCCCCACCCCCACACACAACCTATATAAAGATAGAGTTATCTACATAACGGAACAGTGCGCCTACAGGTACCGAAGCAGCAATCCTGACTCACTGAGAGACTCGCGAACACACCCACGTAATCATATCAGAGAAGAGAAACATTCGGATACATCCAGATAAAACCAGATTTAGGCGCCCAATTTTTAAAGTTTAATCCAAGTGCACGAATATGCAACAAAATGCACCAAGTGTTGCGGCGTGATCTTTAGCTTTGTTATCTTTGGCGTATCTGGCGAAACAAGATGGAATATCTAGAACGCTATCCTCATAGGTTTCCATGGCAACTTGGTACTTGCATTGTAGGTATTTGGCACTCTTGGCAGAGGCCGCTGACACAACAGGCGCGTTTTCAAATATGGGCGGGAGGGTGGTGGAGGAAAATGCTGGGGAATGCAATTCCTTCTGTAACGAGAACTAGAACCGATGGGGAAACATGGCCGTGAAAGAGGTCTGACAAACAAAAGAATTGTTTCTCAGCACTAAGCAGTAATTGAGGAATATTGAGTTAAAAGTCATTTTCCTCCTGTGGTGAGTGAGTGAGGTTGTACAACATAACGAGCATCGCTCGATGTACATATGTAGGAGTCGAACCTAGTCAAACAAGCGGCATTTGTCAGCGCCAAATGATTTCAGAGTTGAACTATGCAATAAGATCCATAAGCATGTATTATTACGAGGGCGAGAAAGGTGTGTAGGGACTACTTTTGGAGATGTACTTTATGCAGGGAGCACTGAGATCCTCTTCTCTAATTGTACAACAATAAAAAGACGTTAAAGCCGGGAGTAACCAGTCTCGATTATCCGCTCAAGCCGATTCTACTGGACGTAAAAGGCAAAATAGCGGTTAATATTACATAAATTGATGGATGAAAATCAGTGATGACACCGGGTGCCAAAACTATGTGACATTCCAAACTGACATATCCTGAAGAAAATAGTGAAGGGAGTGAATGAGTGAGTATGGTTTTACGCCGCTTTTGGCAATATTCCAGCAACATCACGACGGGCTTCACACATTGCACCCATGTGGGGAATCGAACCCGCGCCTTCGCCGTGACGAGCGAACGCTTTAACCAGTAGGCTATCCCACAGCCCCCTTAAGGGAACATTTGCTGGAGAAACCATATTTTTGATATAACGTGTTTCAGTAACTTGGGAGACATGTAGTGGAGGATTTTCATGAAATGCAACAGGGAACCGTATTCTGTACATGAACAGTTAGCACGACAACATTCCGTCAATATCAATTATCAAAGGGCCATTAGACAACATGCAGTGTAGTCTGACAAAGAAATAGAGATAGGGTTTCGTTCCATAACAATCTCTTTGTACTACGACAATCGCAAGTCTATGTTAAAAGACGTGAAAATCGTAACACAAAGATTGATGAAAGGAACAATGCCTTGTTCTCTGAATATGTAAAGCATGTCGCAGCGACAGGTTCGGCTTCAAACAAAGGTTCACGAAGCTGCAGAGTAGGTTGGGTTTGACGCCACCAATATTCCAGCAATATCACGGGGACACCTGAAATGAGCTTCACATATTGTACCCTTGTGGGAAACCGAACCCGGGCCTTCGGCGTAACGAGCAAACGTTTAACCACTGGGCTACCCAGCCGCCTCACATGAAGCTGCAGAACAATATAAACATTGTGGAACATTTGACAACTCCATATCATCACTCCAAACTTAGAAAATATATCATGTCGCGATGTTAGACGTTCAGAGCGCCAAAGTAATGCATTTATTACTTATGGAGTTTCTAAGAAAGAAGTTGTCAGAAATTCCAATATGGCTGCCAAGTGTCGTCTGGCGAAACAAAATGGCGGTCGCCGTGTGTTAGTTGAATGCTGTGAATCTTACCACAGAGTAGCCGGGGGCGAAGAACCTCCTCTTAGTCATAGCTACCCGCTGAGCCTCACCTGTTCGTCGTTTAAAACCATTAATTAATTACATGAATGCATCCTTAATTAGATCCATGTTTGCAACTCGGAACACAAGCGACCAATGTGTACACGACCATTGTCCATCCATATGTTTAATAAATGTTTACATGGTCAAGCGTTCGATATCAAGTGTTAATTACCATCTATCGCAATGACCCCTCCCTCCTAACAAAAATGAAAAAAAAGTGGTAAAAGTAAAACACTATTTCTTCCAAATCGTACAAAAATTTACAAGATGAGTAGATAACTACGATAGCCTGGCCTGTTTTGCTGGAGATATGTTGTTTATTCCTGCTTGTGCCAAACATTTGGAGGACAAAAACAATCACTTGCTTCTCCTATGATGTGTAGAAACCTGGTGGCCTTCCAAGAATCCTCCGCTGAGTCAGCGAGGGGAAATGCCAAACTAAACGAATTCTATCTTGGAAGCCATTTTAGAATGAAATATTCCTTCAGATCGATGATGAAATATTCCACTTCCTACTACAAAGGATGGATACGTCTATGGACAAACTGGTCTCTGTGTCCGAGTTGCAAATTGGAATGATAATAGTACACACACCAGACAATGGCATTACGGTGAATCATCAAGACGTACCTAACCTTACCTATACCTACGGAGCAAATGCTATTGTCTGGTGTGCACAGGTGTATCAACCTTGCACAAATCGTGAAAATCATTCCAAGGAAAGGATGGTTGAAGAAGCCATTTTCTTAACCTTTTCTTTTAAGAGTAATGTTTGGAAAGCGGCCGCCATTATGTCAAAACACCCATCCGTGCTGGACCATCCCATCAAAACACATTCCCTTTTGGAACATAAACAATGACTGGAGGTGAAAAAGTCATCCAGATCAGGTCGGGATTCCAAGAATAGCATCTCTTTAACAAATATCGCCGTATCATCATCAACACATATTAAACTTGGAGTTGACATCACGATTGCGCAAGTTTGAATCAAATTCAAGATGGCTACCTGTGATATAACGACGTTATCACTCGACCTACCCTCTCGTCAGCCTCTTCAAGGGCAGTTTGAACTGCAACTTTCTGTACAGTCTGCTGATTCTTCAAATACGCATAGTTGTGCCAGACCGGAGAGAGCTTCATTTTAAATGTTTTTATACTTTATCTACTTATCACTGTCGTGAGAATCTAAAACGAAAAGAGGCTGAAGAAATAGATAAGAGTGGTTCTACACTATTGCTGAGACCACTTCTCCCACGACAGTGAAGACTTGCTAAAAATGATTCTCCTATAAAGCTAGCTTACGGACAGGTTTTTTCTTAGTATGGCACACATGAGGTAGCCTATGGTCTTACGTACATGCGCGGTGCCCAGTATTGAGAGGTGGACTCAAGTTTCTGATACATCTGGCATAGCAAAGCCGTGGAAATATCACGACCTTTCCATGGTTACCGATTCCTGCGTCAAGATTGTCGGTCGATACCTGCTCAGGTGTTCCATGTAAAAGATGTCCGAATTTCAGGTAAATCCAATATTCCTCATTTGCATATTAATGTAAATAAATATTGCTTAGTCGGCAATTCGTACCGTTATCTTTACGCACGTAGTTCATAAATGAGTTAATTGTGGTGGATAAGAAGAATAAGAAATTATACTTACTTTTCTAGGTCGCCTACTTCGAAATAGATCGAAAATCCACGACCAAAGTTACAGCTTAGGAGGACTGGAGGGGAACTAGCAGGCAGTGTACAACCTTAGACTACAGTCGAATATACCGTCATGTGGGACCAGTCTATCTTCAGGGGAAGAAGGTTAAAAATATCAAATTTTACTTAAAAACAATATTTTAAACCAAAATACCCATATGTTTGGCCTAATGACGATATGACCATTAAAACAAAAAATTAAGTGAATAATGTTCGTAAGATAAACTTTTAACCGTCCGTTGAGATGGAGCACTCGATAGTGACCTGACACCCCTCGCTGCCATAATGGTTCTCAGCGGCGGATTCTTCAAGTGTGTTTCTCACCTGCCTATAAATGGCGAAGCAAGCCCGCGTCAAGGACGGATATTTCAGGAGGGGGTGGGTAACGGCAGTTGTTGCTTACAGTGTGTATACTTGTGTGCACTAGTCACTCAGACGCGCATTGGTTCCAACAAAATGCAAGACTGCAGAACGTGAGCGGGCGTTTACCATACTGGTGCCACAGTGACATACAGCACCACTGAGCAGTTACCATCCAACAAGGTGCCAAGGCGGATGTCACAGAAGCTGTAACTTGATATACCGGGAAGAAACAATATAATATATACCACTGACAGGATAATCTTGTCATAAACCTGTCACGATTTTTGGTTGAGTATTGCCAGAGCGATAACCTTTAAATTGCGGGGTATTTTATTCAACTGAAAGCATTTCACTCATAAAATGTGATAACTGATAAGCAATAGTGACAAATCAACGGATTGTTTTATGGTATATATCTATATTCTTTAAAAAATACACAAAACAAAAAAGAACCAAGTAATACCAACTTATGTGGGTAATGTTCTTTTTTAGTTAGGGTGGTCTGAAGTGCTTGTTTGGGTTAGTTAAAAGAATACTACCGTTACAGAGATAAAGTGCCTAATAATTTTAGTTTCTTCTTTGAGTGGCATTTTAGAAGTTGGGAAGTACAATATAGAACAAACTTTATCGATAACAACTACTTTTTATTCGTCGCACTCACGAATAAAAAGAATTTGTTATCCATAAAGTTTGTTCTGTATTGTATATTGTAATTTTAGTTTGATTGCTTGTTTAACATTCGACATTTTATTGATGCTGAAATTTACTTAATATGATTAGGAGAGAGAGAGAGAGAGAGAGAGAGAGAGAGAGAGAGAGAGAGAGAGAGAGAGAGAGAGAGAGAGAGAGAGAGAGAGAGAGAGAGAGAGAGACACGCAACGTTTAGACCGCTGAAGCCGTATTAAGACAACACGACGGAGATCGGCCCCAGACCTTTGATTCAATGTTTGGTACCGAACTCGGACCGTCTAGGCGTGGATGGAACGCTCTACCCACTGGTTTCCACGACTTCTATTCCTGTACCGACACTTGATGAGCTACACCCAAAGCAACAACTCTGAAATAACGAGTATATCGAGGGCAGAATGTATGTGGTGTATCTTCCTCATTACGTCAGCTAATGTGGGAGGAATTTACAAACAAATATATCCACGAGGCCAAATGTTGATATTAATGCACCGTCTCATAGCTGTTCATCTTCTATAAAACAACTCTTTAATTTGAATATGTCACAGCCTAACATCCTCTTAACCACTTTTCGTTTTTCGCTGACGGACAAACTATAGTGACAGCTCACATCACCCCTGTGTTGAAGGACCTCCACTGGTTGCCCATTCCACAGCGCATCACTTTTAAACTCTGCATTCTCGCCTTCAGATGTCTCTCTGGAAGTGCACCTCAATATCTGTCCGACCTCCTTTCTCCTTACAAACCAACAAGATCCCTCCGCTCCGAGAAACATAATCTTCTGTGTATTCCTAAAGTCAGAACAGTTAAATTTGGTCAAAGAACTTTCTCTTATGCTGCAGCCTCAGAATGGAATCATCTCCCACAACATTTGAGAGAAATGACAGAACTTTCAACCTTTCGAACATCGCTAAAGACCCACCTTTTCCAAAAAGCCTTTTCGTCCTGACATCAGCGCTTTGAGCATGCATTGTGCATGGAAATATGCGCTTTATAAATGAACTATTATTATTATTATTATTATTATTATTATTATTATTATTATCTCTTTAATCCGGACTGTACCATATTAAATGGTAATTAATTAATTTCCTTTTCCTTATTGTAATAAATAAACAAACAAACAAAAGCGGGGGAAACAACAAAACCCAAAATAAACAAACATTATGGTGTTAACTAATTCGTACACTTTAAAGTACGCATATAGACATTTTAAACAACAACCCTCAACTGGTATTTGTCCGGATTAACCAGGTCCACTCCAACAAGGATACACAATAAGCGCCTCTCAGTAGAAGTATACAGTATGGAGATTTCTTCTCAACGCTACGGAATATCAACGACGTGACAGAAAACCTTTGCATGTTTTCGTGGATCTACTGTCGATGATTCCAGTGTAACTTTACGCCTGACACAAACTGTAGGTTGCCAACAGGGCAGGTTTAACCGCATGGATAACATGCAGGAAGGTGCCCGTACGCTCAACTTGGAAATGTGGTCTCTCTTACTGAAATAGTGTGCTGGCATTTCCTCAGTAGTGATATTTGTGAGGCGCTCGGTCCAAATGAGTATAATAACGCCCGCCAGGTGAGACACAACTGAAAACAGAATACAGCCTGGTATGTATACAGGTGCCTTTGGGAGGGAGGAGGTACTCGATGTCCGTGAGGACGTGATTCCAGCAACATCACGGCGGGGAGAGGAGGTACGGTAAAATACAGTTTAACGTAACGTTCCAAATTATTGGACTAACGGGATCGGGTGGTCAGGCTCGCTGAATTGGTTGACACATGCCATCGTATCCTAGTTGCGTAGATCGATGCTCGTGCTGTTGATCACTGGATTGTCTGATCCAGACTCGTGTATACTAGTATTACAAACCACCGCCATATAGTAGGGATATTGCTGAGTGCGGCGTAAACAACAACAAACCAACTAAACCAAAATCAAGATTAATGCACTGTATATGATATCCTTCTTAGACGCAAAATCATTACTCCGACAGACTAGTCCTTGTTTCATCCTCTCTATGCCGAGCTCCAGGCAAGGCGACAACAAGTACCGACTTCCAACGACCTTTACTATGCATCGACGGCGGTGGGGTAGTCTAGTGGTTAAGGCGTTCGCTCGTCACGCCGAAGACCCGGGTTCGATTCCCCACATGGGTACAATGTGTTAAGCCCATTTCTGGTGTCCCCCGCCGTGATACTGCTGGAATATTGCTAAAAGCGGCGTAAAACCATACTCACTCACTCACTCACTCACTCACTCACTCACTATGCATCGACCAGGGAATCGAACCACCGACCTTCCACTTTGCTGGCAGACACTCTGTAAACTAGACCAAGGGGAGCTGGAGAGCTGGAGGCCAGTTAGTACCATCAGAAAGAGGCATGAGTGAGTGAGTGAGTATGGTTTTATGCCGCTTTCAGCAATTTTCCAGCAATGGACACCAGAAATGGGCTTCACTGATTGTATCGAATCATTGCCATCGCCCACAAGAAGACCCGATCCCATCTAACCTTGGGGCTATAGATCCTCCTGTTCAAAATCTGCAGGATTTGACACTGGCACTCCATGAGGAATGGCAGAGGATTCCGATGCTGAGAATTCGACGCATGATTGCCAGTACGAGTGGGAAACTGACAGATGTTATACATCGTGTGCAGGGTTGGGTAAGGCAGGTACCGATGTATTCATACAATCACAAGACATGTTTTGAGAACTGTGTAATAATCAGATTGGTAGCGATGTCATTTTGACATACTTTCCGGCATCGTTTCTGTAAATTCTTCTCAGGTTAATGGTTATTAAATTTAAGTTGCTGTTTTGTTTTTGTTTTAATCAGAGTAAAATATGTTACAGGTACCATGCTAATACAATTGTTTTTCAAAGCTTCTACAACAGCATGTTGTGTTTTCGTCTTATCATATAAAAACCAATGGTTTAATGCTCATGTTCCTGTACTCATTTTCCCTGTTGCCACTCACGATACCACTCAACCGATTGTTTCATGCGACAAGTATGATGGGAAGGATTAACTGTGGTAGTCTGAGCCAATCTGATGTTCCTTAACTTTCTTTCAGTGGTATAATTCAATCGGGACGGCACTGGCCAGAATAACAGGTATTTGTATACAACAGGTTGCAAATAGCTGCGGGATAGCTGATGCAGTATTTACTTGCTTACGCTGTAACCCGCATGACAAAACTACTGCAGCCAAACCCGTTGTATCGAACTGTGATGTGTCGAACTAACTGATGCAGTATTTACTTGCTTACGCTGTAACCTGCATGACAAAACTACTGCAGTCAAACCCGTTGTATCGAACTGTGATGTGTCGAACTAACTGATGCAGTATTTACTGGCTTACACTGTACCCTGCATGGCAAAACTACTGAGTATTTACTTGCTTTCACTGTAACCCGCATGACAAAACTACTGCAGCCAAACCCGTTGTATCGAACTGTGATGTGTCGAACTAACTGATGCAGTATTTACTTGCTTACGCTGTAACCT